GCGCGGCCTGGCGGGAGCCGCTCACCGCTCGTGCTTGGCTTCCAGCACGTCCAAACCGCCCGCATTTATTGTTGTAAACTGAAGAGCTTGCGTGTAAACCCAAAATCCCACCAGTGCAGCTCCTCCTGCCTGTGTTTAGCCCCGTGCTGTTGGCATGAGGCAGATGCCAGACGCGTTTGCCATTCACTCGCTCTAACCTGCATGCCCCATGTGAAATGCCAGACTCTGCTAACAACCCATTCTCTGAACCTGCCAGTGACCTGCCCGCCCAGTGGAACGCAGCATCGCTCCTAGCGCAGTGTGGAGAAGACTGAAGAGGAGGTGTCGGCAAGCGGGGTTATCTGATACGGGTTTGCAGCTAGCCTAACGCGAGGAGAGGGGCGTAATTGCGTTATGGGGAAACCCTGGCAAGGGCAAAGCCCTGCTAGGTTACATGCCACATGTGTTTTCTCCTCCTGTGTCTGTCCTTGCGTGCTGTAGTACCAGCAGGACCTAGTGGTGCTGCAGGACAAGCTTCGCATCTCCAACAAGAAGCTGGAGGAATATGAGACCCGCTTCAAATGCCAGGAGGAGACGACGCAGAAGTTGATGCTGGAGTACCAGGCCAGGCTGGAGGAGAGTGAGGAGCGTCTCCGGAGACAGCAGGAGGATAAGGAGATCCAGATGAAGGGCATCATCAGCAGGTACAGGGGGGATGGGAGAGCTGGAGATGACAGTAAGGCGGGCAGCCTGGCTGGTGTTAGAGCTGGCCCCTGCTCAGGAGAATCAAGTTTTTTTGGAGGTGCATGCAGGTTTCCCATGTGGGTTTTCCAGCATTTATTCACTTCTTGCCCTCTGAGTTACAACCCCTGGGGGACATTTCAAGCCCTGACTCTTTGGGTCCCCCCATCAGTGTTACCTGGGACAAGGGAAACCCCGACGTCTTCCTGATTCACAAAGGCAAAACTTCAGGAGGGAAGAGCTGGCAGCCTGCCTCAGTTCTTGGAGGATCTGGCAGGCTTGCTCCTCTGTTCATATAAGCAATAGATGTAAAGATCACAATATTTTTTTCCTGACATTTAGCTAAAGTTCTCATCACTATCCTATTACTCCTAGCTATAAATCCCGTTTGCCCACCCAGTGGGATGTGGTATTTACATGTGTCCGGGACATAGACTGTTCCAGTGCAGCTAGCTGCACCTTTACCTGAGCCAAGCCAACTTAGTGCTTTAATCATCCTTCGTGAACGGGTCGGCATTCGCTGTTCGGTATCACTTAAGCTTTGGGACAATCTGCTATAGAGGTCTGTAGAGAAGAGTAAAAGAGCCAGAACAAAGACTGGTTCTAAGCTATTGGTTTGTGTGTAAGAAGAGGTAGTGCCAATGACTGCGTGTCTTCTGTGTGCCCAAATGCACAGCTGCAGGTCCTGGGAGCAGTGTGTGCCTCAGCATTGCAATTTCAGATGAGACAGTTTGACCTGGTGTGGATGATGGGGGCTGCGATGTGAAGCCAGTTCCATCTGTAGACTAGCTTCTCTGGTATTTCATCTCTCTTCCTACGTGCTTCAGAGATATACGTCACCCCTTTGCTTCTGTGGTGTCAAGGACTAAATGAGGACATCATCTGTCTAATTTGCTCTCGGTGGCTGATAGAGACATGTACGAGACTAATAACTGGGCTTAGCAGAGCCCCCAAAAATGTAATTTTTTTTCTTTTCTGTTCGGCTGCCAGACTGATGTCAGTTGAGGAGGAGCTAAAGAAGGACCATGCAGAAATGCAGGCTGCTGTGGATTCCAAGCAGAAGATCATTGATGCACAGGTGAGTCCCCGCTACCAAGGGCTGCAGCACTGCTCGGGGTGAGCCTGCCAACCTGCAGCCTCCCTGCCACGCAGCAGTGCCAGCTCAAGCACGGTGAGACTGCGCCGTGGCAGAGCGGGTCAGGCTTCAGTGGGATGTGCTTTACTGTCACAGCATTCGCATTCGTACAGCTGTTGCCAGCCTTGCAGCTTGGCAGGCGCCACGCAGGATGTGGGGGGTGGCAGTTTGTAGAAGGATCATGCCCTCAATTCAGTCAGTTTGTGGAGGGATCATATCCTCGTTGGCTCTTGGTGCTTTGTTTCCAGTAATGCTTGCGGAACCTGGGTACAGGGAACATAAAGCCGGACCAGAGCAAAACCAACGTGTTTTTTTCAGCCTTTGGGTTGTGGCTTGCAGGATTGGGAAGCTCAGTTATTGCTATAGATTACAATGGCAGAGGAGCATCAGGTGATGGGTGCAAAACACTGTGCTTGGAAAAGAGAATTCGAAAATACAGTCCATAATCTCTTCATTTGTCTAGGCAGAGATCAGCATCTTCTCTGCAGCTAGGCCTTCCTACAGGTTGTGGCTAGGTGATGATAGTATATTCTAGGCTTATTCTTAACAACCCTGTTAATCACTTATGAGTCAGTACTCATGACTAATTTACTGTATAGCTAATTAAAAAGAAGATGAGGCAACAGTAGTAACTTTGTAAAAAGAATCACTGTTATTCTGTAGAGTAATTTGTTCAAAGGTAGTAAATTATCCTGTTCCCGTCTGCACTCCGGCAAAGCCTAGCAGGTACAGGGGCACCTGTAAGGTGCGAGCGGCGCAGCCTGCAGCCTGCCAGCAGCTCTCCACAGGCTGTCCTGTCTCCTGCCGTCTTGCGTGTTACGTGTGAGGTGCTTACCATGAGCCACTCTACACTGCTCTTTTTGTCATCTCGGGCTGTACAGTAGCGTTGGACATGTTCTTACACGGACCTTCAAAGTTACATGCAGGCAAAGTACTGTGGCCCTCCGCATTGGTTCTGTTCCCTTCTGCTAGTGGCAGACGGAGAAGGGCGATGGCTTGTTCGGTGTCGCAAAGAAAAGGAGTCGCAGAATCAGGCTGCAACACAGAAGCTCTTGCTCCCATCCTTACGATACTGTAATTGGTGAGAGTTGCCATCAAAGCCATCCTGGGAGGCCGCAAGTCATTTAAACTATTAATTTACACTGACAAAAACCAATTAAACGCTGACAGGAATAACTGTCTTGGGAGAGCTTTGTTTTAGAAAAGGAATCTTACCATCTTCCTAACAGCTGCAGTTAGAGCAAACAATACAAAGGCTTTCTGTATAACCCAAGAATTGGAGAATCTATGTTACCTCCATTTTCTTCAGGATGCTAAAGTGCATTTAGCTCACATTGCACAGGCAAAGTACATTTGTGGCCCTGCTAATAGCAACAGATTTCAAAAAATGCTGTACTTAAAAAACCCACACCCAGAAATGCCAAAGAGAAAGGTCCTGGTCCAAGAGGCCTCTGGGTCGCTGCCTCAGGACAAGCCCTGGCATCGCAGCGGGACAGGTCTCCATGCGTTCCCACTGACCGTTCCCCTCTGCCCGTTTGTTTGCAGGAGAAACGCATTGCTTCACTGGATGCTGCCAACGCACGGTTAATGAGTGCCCTTACTCAGCTGAAAGAGAGGTACAGCATGCAGACACGTAATGGGATCTCCCCCACAAACCCAACTAAATTGCAGATTACAGAGAATGGAGAATTCAGAAACAGCAGTAATTGTTAACCCGTGGAGGGTGCTGCCGCAGGAGAGGAGGCCTGGCCAGAGAGACCGTGCAGCAGCAGGTGTGAGCCCCGGCTTCAAAGAACGGCTGCTCTCTCCCCCCCGAGAAACCAGCTCCTTGCTGCGGACGGCGCGCTTGACTGAGCCTTTGTGGGAGATGCTAATGCCAGCACATTGAGGGGACGGAAAGCTCGAGTGTGAGATGAGTGGCATAAGGAAATAACATATATTTGAGAATTGCTGTCACTGTTGGATTTAAATCAGTGTTTAATGTTCAAACAAAAGTAACCTTTTCCTTCTAAACTGCCCAAAGGATATGCCTCCCCCTCCCAGCAAGGAATAACGTCCTTGTCATTGCAGTAAGCGAAATAAAGGGAGCTGGGCAGCGCCTGCAGCAGGCAGCGGCCCAAAAGCGTGGGGCTGGATGTAGCCGTACGAGGGATGGCAGCAAAGCTTGGCCCGCGCCTCCTGTGCCTCCCCCCCGGAGCACAGCCCTCTCCCACAGCAAACCCCGAGCTGAGCCCAGACGCCTTTCCTAATGTGGCTTTTGTGAGGCCGCTGACTTTTACAACGGGTGCCTGTCCACGGGGCATTTATGCAGCTGATTAGTGTTTAATTAACTCAGCCCATATAGGGAGCACAGTCCAGATGGAAGGTCGGGGCGCACGCTGTGCGATGCGGTAGCCGAAGGGGTGCTGCGTGGGGAACACGGTGGCAGGGCAGCGGAGAAGGGCCGGGCTGGCGCTGCCGGGGGTCCCTGGGCAGCCCAGGGGAGCAGAGCAAGCCCAAGGCTCTGGCACGCAAGTGGAGAGAGGAGCTGGCACCTGGTGAATGGCGACTTGACTCCTCTCTACAGCTTCTGCTCTCTCACAAATAATGGGGAAGAGTCGTTGTAAGCAGTAGCCCCAGGGCACTGTCCCCCACACGCACACTTCTGGCCACAGAATAAAGTAAATGTTGCCTGAGCTTGGTCCCCGAGCTGTGAATGAGGTACAGGGGCTGGATGTCCTGCTGCCCGTTGCGGTAGAGGGGGAGCGAGGGGCTACGTGAAACGGCCAGCTTCTTGCCTGACAAAGGGTTCGTGATGGGGATGTAATGCTCTGTGCAGAGATTTTTACTATTTCTGGGGAGAAAAACAGACAAAGAAACAAGAAAAAGCCCTGAAGAACCATGAAGATCGGTAATTGTATTTCTTTTCTTTCACAGTATGCATTAGAAAAAAAAAGATCCCATTTTCTGGAATACTGTCCTCTTTAAATTGGGAATGAGCACTGCATGGAAATTAACCGGCTCGAAGAATGTAAAACATGGTCATAAGGGAGTAACCACCAAGAACAGCAGCCACCACCGAAAGCCCCCTTGTCAGGAGCACTGTGCAGGCATAAGCCAGGATTAGACTTTCCTAACTGCTGAAACACGCAGATTCGGCACATTCAGACACGTTGTGCTCAGCGGAGGGGTCACCTCCTTAACGGGGGATTGTGCCGCTGACCTGCCGCCACGGTGTGTTTGTTGGTTTGTGGTGTTTTTTTTTAAGTTAGTACTTGATGACTCCCACTCTCAGAGCAGGTCACTCGTACCAAGAGCCAGAGAGATTTCTCTGAGATACGGATGACAGTGTACAGTGTACAGGACATCTGCCTATTCCTCCCACTAAAGTTTAACACACTGCTCAACGCCTGTCCTAGCTCCTCCTGCCATGTGTAAATGTACAGTCAAAGGGCCTAGGATGTTCACTGAGCTCCGCACAGCTTAGGTACCGTCTCCAGCCTCCCGCTGCCGAGGCTGCCCGAGCAGGACGCTCTTTGCCAGTAAGCTCTGCATTGCCATGCTGCCCCACAGCCATAAGGCTCATTGACAGCATTCTTCCACATGCACTTGTTTTCAAAATTAAAGATGCTTTTCTTTTCCTAAACGTTTTTCTGTTCCCTGGAAGCCCTGGGCCAAGCCCGGTGCAGCCTGGTCCTTGGAGGAGCGAACGTGTTGCCCTGAGGTCTCCACAGCCCGCCAACGCCTGCCGAGTGGTGCAGTCACACAGCAGACCCCAAACGGAGCTCCTCAGAGAAAAGTAATAACTATTTATGACAAGTACAGTCACCTTTGAATTTTGGAGACTAGCACAGATGGCTTTGAAGAACCTCACAAAACTGACAAGGTTACAACTGGAGAAAGCCGCAGACAGGTTAGGGATGTACAGGGTCCTGTGAGCCCTTGGGTACGCACACGCACAGCTCCCACTGTCTCAGAGTCAAATACATTGTAAGAACCCTGCAAAAAAAGACTACTTTAAACCGCTGTTGCCCTGAGATGCATGTTTAGAGCTGATTGATTGAGTTCCAAAATACTGGTGTTGCGAGAGGTGGGAAGTTTTTCAAGAGAAGTAACATAGAGGAATGGAAACACTAAGAGGGCACGGGGGCGGGCGCCCCACCAGCGACGTTTCCATTCATACACGGAAATAATTTTGGGATGCAGTCAGTGCTCTGCGTAAGAGGTGGAAAAAAAGAAACACCCACAAAACAATTGTTTAGTACTGAGGCTAAGCACAGTACATCTTAATCTTCTCCTCAACCACAAGCCAAGGCACTGCTCCCCCCTGCCCCGATCTGTCAGAAACTCCTGGTTAACCTCAAACTTGCAAATTACTGAACACACATTGTTCTGCTGAAATAGCAGGAAGACTTAAATCCTTCCACAGCAAGCTATTAAAATATCTTTAAAAGTTCCAGTGCCAACACCTTCTGGAGTTGTTGCTTAGTTTCCTGAGCCAGTATGAAAAGAAATTCAAATCGGGACGAAGTCTTGTGACAGTAGAGAGATCCCCTCCCCATTTTCCACCCCGTCTCCTTCCCCTGCAACTGTCAACAACTGGACCTAAACGTGACCTTCCCCTAAAAAAGATTTGGGGGTAGGTTTTTAAGATCCGGGCTCAGTTCAGTTCTGTTACTTCAGTTTGTGTTTCTGTTATTTATAAACTGTACATTTAAATATGTGCGTGTGTGTGTGTGTGTGTGTGTGTGCGCGTGCGCATGTGCACGCGTGTCCACGCGTGAGCGAGCACGAGAGAGCGTGCAAGGACGCGCGAGCCCCGCGTGGCCAGGTTACCCGACGGGGCCTCGGACCGGTACCTGGCGTAGCAATACCCGAGGCAAGCCCAAGCGGTGCTGGCGGCACCAGAGCAAAGCAACCACTACCCGTAATGTTTTGTGAGCGGCTCCATTTTCTTGTTTTGTTCTTGCGCTTTCTACAGTAAGAGGCTGTTCTAGTGCAAACTCGTCAAAGTGTAAACAAAACAAAAACACACTCAGATTTTTATCTTAATACAAGTCTTAATATTTTTTGTAAATGTTTTCAGTGTTTACTGTAACGTATCTATCTCACTAACAGTTGTATATAGTAACTTACTTCTGGTGCTGCTTATTCGGTCAGGATTTGGCTGTATCTCACTGCTGTTTTGGAGAGGTGGACTCAAGCTAGCAAATCTGGATCCAGACACAGGTTATGATTTCAGCCTCCTCCCTTGGGGACCGGAGGGAAGGGAGAGAAGCCAGGGATCCAGGTTTGGGGTTGGCTCACCTCAACGATTCTGTTTTAAGAGTTTTGATTTGGGGTTTTGTTAAACTGTAGTGAACGCTTCCAAAAAAATGAGCAAAGTTTTGTGTAAAGGGGGATGGAATGGACTGAACAGTATCCCGCGGTCTCTGCAGACTGTAAGTATCATCGTTTTGGACGGGGATTATGGCTTCAGTGCCAAAAGACTGGAGGGACCCACGTCCTTCCCCATGCCAACTAATACTACAGTGTACTCACCAGCCCCTTTTGCACCAGTTTAAGCAAATCCTGCCGCCATCCAAAGAGTCCTGTGTCACTCTGCATTGTCATTTGAGTCTGGTTGGTTTTGTTCTCTGCTTTTGCGGTTGTGAAGCACTGATTGCACTGTGAGAACAGGCGGAATCCTCTGGCCTGGCAGCCAGCTCCATGGGTTGCTGCAGGGTCTGCTACTACTGATGGTCATAAAGGGCGAAGGGACTTGGTGGACCTAAGCGAGGCATCACAGGCTCTCCAAGGAAAGCAACCAGCAAGTAATCCATCATTTCCAAAGGTTAGGGCGCTCACAGGCTTTTCCCTGTTAGTAACCTCCATGCCCAGATGCAATAGAAAACACACTGAGGTCTCTTCTGTGGTGAGCAAGGAGAGGATTTTTAGTCACAGCAGGCGGAAGATAATACCCGGGTGGGTTCAGCGAGGACAGCCTCAGGCTGTGGCTCATAGATTTGATCTGCAAGGGGCTCATTTCCCCCAGCGGTCCCGGGGCAGGGCTAGCAGCCCCGTGAGACGCCTTTCCGACAGCAGCACCGCCGACCCGTGGTGTGCAGCAGCTCCGCCGCGGTCACTGCCCTGTCCCTGACACGAAGCTTTGCCTGGGGACCACGAAGCGGAAAGTCCAAAGGGAACAACTGTGACGCCGTCCCTGGGGTGGGCGAGCTCCCGTGCCGCACTCCCTCCTTCCTGCCCGCGGTGATGGTTGGGGTTGGCCTCCTCCCCAAAAGTCTGCCATCAAAGCAGCCCGGGCCTCCGGCCTGGCCAGTACCGGGACCTGACGTGGGTCAGAGCGCACGGCCTCGTGGCCACCAGGAGATCCCGTCACTGGCCACGCGAGGGGCAGTGCCCAGCTCCGAGTAGGCCTCTGACTCTTCAGGGCAATTTCAGAGGAGACTGCTTAGCCCCGAGCCTTGGACCTGTGGCACCTGCCCCGAGAACTGCCAAGCCCTGCTCGAGCCCTGCACAGAAAACTGTTGCCTTTTTATTTTCCGTTGGGGAAAATTACACATGGGGGGAGAGGGAGGACAACAGCAGCATGCCGACATGCAGCTCATGGGCTTTACAAACCAAATCCAGTCTTGAGGGCGTTGCACAACATTCAGAAACAACCACGCTTCGAAAAAAGGGTGTCACGGTCAAGCATTGACTTTCACAGATCACCCGAGCTGTGACACTGCTGTAAATGCCACGTGGTTCTGCATCAGCTACCGGTACCCCAGAGTGCAGTCTCCATGTTCACATGTTCCTTTATCATACATCACTGTGTCTTAAGAGATACCTCTCTCTGTATATCTGCTTAGGCTGATACTTGTTCCTGATAAGCAGTCGCTATGTTT